TGGGTGTAGACCCAATCTGTACAGGGGGGTGTGTGTGTGTAAGGAAAGTGATGCAGCTCTACAGCTGCTACTGTGAGAAGCCAATCCAGTGTATACCCATATTTGATGTCCTATGATCACCTACTTCAGACTACGAGCATTTTGGTGCAGGAACCATATCTTCCAGATAGGTAAAACTTTGTGACATGTCGCTAAAATATACACAATAAATAACACACTAGGCTTGCAAAGTCAAGCACCCAAGAGCCAGTAAAATGCCAAAATTATGGTAACCCACAGAACCTTAATCCAGAACCCATGGGCATACGTGTTGTAGTATTATTGTCAGCTTACAAGATAAGATACTATTTTTTTAATGTTGTCCTGGCCTGCTCAGTGCACAAACAGGCTGGGCTCATTGAAAAAGCAATCATTCAATATCTCTGTTGTTCAGTAATCCAGGCCTTGTCTCTTGTATGCTCTTCTAATCCTGTTCTGAAGGCAGAAAAGCCGATAAGGAAACAACTATTCTGATCATACTCTTTGCTACAGTGTCCAGGTAATCTCACAAACCTTTATTTGCATTTATTTTACAAAAGCTGTTATGCGGTGCTGGTTTTGAGATGCGCAATACAGAGCAAAGAATGAGCATTCGTTTGAAGTGCTCATACCTTGCCTGGCTGCTGAATTTGAGAGTAGTCTACACGTTTGGCATGGTTTTCATATTCAAAGTATTAGTTTCCACCTGAGAACAGTGGGAGCAGCAGCTCCTCTTCATTTATGCAAATCATATCACAGACAAGGAACAGACTATTATTGCCACCTATGAAAAGCTATGTTTAAGTGATTTGCCCATTATCACACACTATCACATGGCAGATGCAAAGATGTAACTCTCTTAAATAACGTTCCGATTGTTGTACACACACTTTCATTTCACTACCTGCCGTTCCCCAACTCATTCACTGATTCTCCTAGACACAGCCCCTTTTTGGTACAGAAATGTTGCACAGGCAGATTTTCAGAGTATTTCTATAGTTGGCTGGAAATTCTAAATCCATAGCAGAATAGCACTGGTCAGATAGCTTTATGGGTAGTAACCTATGGCACGTTTGGCACAGAAATGCAATCTTACCATGTGGATACGACACAGTTGCTGTGTTCCAGCAAAGCAGACAAAATACTCTCTAGCACTGCTGGATTTCTTGTGAACTTACACACATTGCTTTCTGAGGAATCCAGACAGAAATATGACAGTTTTATTTACAGGATGTTCTCCACTATGCTACATGGCAATTCCCCCTCCAAGCCCAGTTTTCTGTTTCAACTTGCACAGAGTTTCCTCAAGATCCCTGAGCCTAAAAACGTACAGAGACCCCAAGAAACATTTGCAACTGGATTGTTCATGGTGTAATAACAGGAATACTACACATACACTGAACAGCATGCACCCAGCTGCCTGCTTCTATTACAAGCAAGAACAGCTGAAGTGAGATGAGCATGGCTGGGGCAGGGAGTACGTATGTTACTGTAACTGATCTCAACAACAAGCCTTCAGGGAAGTGGGCAGGGATTTTCCAGATGAACACTTCATCTTGGCCCATCTCCACCAGCTTAGTAAACCCTCACCAGCCTAATGGACCCGATTGAGGCCTTGAAGGCTGCTTCCCCCATACATACCCAAACCACAAACTACTCGGTAGTGCCCAACTCACTGACTCAACTCCTCTCGGGGGGGAAGCGCTGAGGCAGATGACAGGCATAAACACACAAACTTAGATTGTTTTTTTTCTTTACTATTTGAAACCTCCTTGAAGAGAGAAAACAAAAAAAGAAAGCCAACAACCACCACCCTTCCCCCCTGACACAAACCCCCTCAGCAGAGGGAGAAAGCACCCCCCTCCCCTTAACATGGATTCTTGTCCTCCCCTCTGTACCTCCTCAGGTACACCAGCTGCACTGTCAGAGGGGGAGAACTAGAATACCAAGCTCAGCCACTGAAGCTGAGGATGAAGGCTGAGGGTGAAAGTGAAGGTGAAGGCCAGGGCCAGGGCCTACCCTGACGGCCAAGGCCTCACAGCCAGAGGGCCCCGCGCTTCAGAGGTGCGAAGAGGGTGGACCAGCCGCCCTTGCTCTCTGAATGGTACATTTAACTGTCAATCAGAGCTCCTTCCCGCCCACCCCCTCCCCGCCGCGGCTGCCCGATCCAACCGCGCCTCCCATCGCGCTCATGCCGACGAGCGGTGGGAGGGGCAAGGTCCCGCTGCCTCGCACTCCGATTGGCTCAATCAGCCGTCAACTCACTCCGGCGAGGCTCCGCCTCCTCACCGCTCTCCTCTTGGATCTACGGTGCGGCGAGGAAAATGGTGCAGAGCTCTCTCACGATCCGATTGGCCAAGAGGAAACGCCACTCAAGCCGAGACCCCGCCCTCCCGGCGGGACGGCGCCTCAGCTGACCGCTCAGCCCCGTGACAGGGGAGGGGTGGGCCTCACTGGCGAATGGTCGGTTCCGCCAGTCACTCCTGCAGCGTCCCTCCCAGCCGCCCTGAATCTCACCTGCCGATTGGCTGCGGCGGTTGTCCGTCAGCACTGCCTGGTGGGCGGGGCGCTCGGGGTTCTCTGTCCGACGGTGCGGCCCGGTTCGGCTCGGTGTCTTCCCAAGCGGGCGTCTCCGGCGGTGCGGCGGAGATGGGGCGGCGCGGCGGGGCTCCCCGGTCCCTGGAGGTGGCGGTGCTGCTGTTGA